CCCCTAACCACACTGAGGCTTCGGAAGGCTCAAGCAAGCATACCATCGACTGAACCACCCGAGGGTAGCTGATTCGACTTGTCTACGCACGACAAAACACGACCCATTTTGGTTAGGCAATCATGAACTCGGGAGAAACAGTAAAACGATACACGATAAAAAATTACACATTCCCGTTCTTGCTCAATACACACAATTCAAACAGAGGTGGCAAAGAGATCCAATCACTGTGACGGGTAACGTAATCCGACCCTGTAATTTCGCTCCATAAGAAGCAATAAACGTCGACGTACATGGAGAGCATTCAGTTTGTGAATGGCAGGCATTAGGAATGGGTCATGGTGACCGAAGCCAGAGGAAGACCTTCCACAAATAGCCGGTTGGTGAGCGGACCTTTGGGACAGCCCTCTAATTGATTGGCTGCCTCTCCTTTCCTGAAAATTGTATTCTTGTATATTCGATAACAGGAAGTAAAACAAAAAGAGAACTCACTCTCCTCATCTCGTGGTGTTGGTGGTGGCGCAGTGGTTTAGTCGCTATCACCGGCGTGCTTTAGGTTCGAGTCCCATCCACCAATACCACCCGACTTTGGCGGGAGGCAGCTTTGTTATCGTCCGGTTCAATAACATCTAAACTAGAAGGGCCTTATGTGGTTAGTCACTCCCCAAGCCCCGGGGATTAGGTTACCGGTTTCCATGAATGAACAGCAGACCTTCCTGGCCAGAGGGGTTTACCCGATCAGCTGTTCATCACACTAAAGTGTGTAATAAGAAAAAGGCTACTTGCTATCGTAGGCATCAGTAGTCATTGGTTGCGAATGATCATCCCCTGTTCGTGAGTCAAGAAATAATCGAACACAATCAATCATCTTAAACGACCTCGTTAATGAAGTATTCCCCTCCGCTTACCGTAATTCGATAACAAAGTGAATACGGTATCGTACGATCCGATGAAATGGGTCCAGTTGACTGCGGGATTTTCACACACTTTTGGTTAACCGAAGAGAAAATTCACCTACATTAGCCGGGTTAAGCTGGCCGTACTTCACCCACGAGCATATCACAGACTAATTTCTTTGGGGCATATCTAGTTGTAACATCCATTGCTTCGTGCATGTACACTCTGAACTCATTAATGGAACACCACTGTCTACGTCGCATTGCATGAGTCTGGTGGGGTAACCGGACAAGTAATGCTGAGGTCAGGCGTAGGGTTTTGGCAGTCGCGGTCGTCCACTGGAGCAAGTGATCGACCTCCACAGACTTCATTGGTTGGGGTATATGTTACGCATGTCACCAAATAGGTTGCCACGGCAACCAATGCTTGCCGAGTCAGATAGCGGTTGGAAAAAGACCAAGGGTGGTCAAAATAAGACCTGACATGAGAGTATGAAAACCTTAACCAGGAGACTAGGTCACATAGACCCCGTTAGGCTGCCTCGCTGGGGACCCCGAGATGATCGTACCCGATGATTAGAGACAATGAATGATATGGCTGGGTGTCGCAAACAACGGCGCTCGAGCATTCACTCATTATCCTTCTAACACTACTCTATATGAATTCTACATCTTCGCTTGAATTTGCTTTCAAAATTCCAATCTTCTGTTCGTTTATCCAAATAAGGCAGCAAAAGACAGCAACCAAAACCGGCGCATGGTTAATGGTTGTAAAAACTAAAATGAACTGATGGATAATACGGGAAGGTCACTCAAATTTAGCCGGGACTAATTTCTACAAGGAAGTCACTAGAAGCCTGAACTTTCAACCAGCGTGAATGAAAACCAGTACAGCGGCACACTCACTCCGCAAGATTGGCAGAGAAAACGGATTCGGTGGGCACTGCACCCGGTGTGTGTTTGTGCGGATTTTCCTGAGTAAATCGGTTAAAGGTATGATCAGTGACCGTTCCGGATGGGTCATTTCTACTGAGGAGAAAAAAGAGGCGCCTATTCAGGATACGGATACTCGATCAACACAGCCAAATAGTGAGAACCTGTTGGTGTTGGTGTTGTGGTGATGGTGTGGAAGTGTGTGCGATTGAAAAAGGAGGAAAAGGAACTTAAATGAACAGACGTGTTGGACAAGGTGGTCTGCAATTTCCTAGCAGCGCCTGGTTTGTCTGATGGGAATTCAATTCAACCAGTACAAATTGTAAGGCGTGAATGAACTGCCTATCCCGGGGTCTGGACAAAAAAACAATAAACAGTCAGCTCTTACTGCACTAAGTCGTGTAGAAACTGGGGGAGAGGATAGGATCCAGAAAGCCCAGATGAGTGGATGGAACACAACTCGGGAAATGAACGTCTTCCCGCGTATTCTAATTTGGTCCCGGCTGTTCTTCCGTGGTTGCATCGTGAGATCAACAGCATCATCAACATCATCATCACTATCATCACAATCAACAAACAAAAACAACAGCAACAGAGAAGAGATGCACGTTATCACATCACAGTTATCAGCAACGGGAACGGATAGTTTAAGAACAAAGATTAAAAAAGAAAACAACTATCTTCCCCACACTCCAAATACAGATGATAGGCTATGAGATAAACGGAATGGTGCACCGTACTAAATGAAACGTAGTTCCGCGTTTCATCGAATAAACCGCGATAACAACAGTGCGATGATTTGATCCGGTTGTGCGAAACTACTATAGTCGCTATCAGGCCACAATATCGATATCGCCAGGATCTTGTTTCAGTAACACAGCTGATCATGCTGGCCAAGCGACCACCTTGGTTTCGGGCACCCGCGGCAGCACACATCCACAATCGAGTGTCTTTAGCATCATATATAAACTCTTCCGAGTTAGAGCAGCAACACAATCTCCTCGTAAGGAAACGAACAAAATGGATGCGTACGTCCGCACACACACACACACACACACACATGCATATCCCGGAGCAAAATGTGCCTCAACCGTGCGAGACATAAAATTAACCTATAGCTCCCTATCACAATTATTGTACAACACAGACACACACACACACGTAAATAAATACTAAACACGGACATAACCAGATAAACATAAGCACACCTACTATGAACAAAAACGAACGGAGAGAGCGAGAAAAACTCACAAATAAAAAAAATGGAACATGCGAACGAGTACAGTACAGTACGACCCAGTTGGTCGACCTACCCGGGGTAAAGGGGCTGTTTATCACATTCGTAACACGGTCAGCTGCCGGATCATTTCGAGGATGGACGAACGCACGGCGTTAGGGGGCGGGGGCGAGTGGGGATTAGCGGCCAAGAGACAGAGAGAAAAACCGGTCCACTTCGAACTGGTCAACTTCACAGTTTATTGTGAGGCCGCACTCGTTCGCCGCCTAGTTCTTCTATCACAACGCACGGGAACGGGGTTAACTAACGCACATGCTCTGACAAACCGTGGAAAGATGACGGCAGTCTATGCGCGTGTGTTTGTTTGTCCAAGGTGGTGGCGATGATACGGGACTATAAACCACGTGTATACGTACTCTCTTGTACACCTATTCATTCCTCCGGCTTACAAAGACCAGTTCATGCGGTCCCGAAGGGCCAAGGGAGGAGAGTTCGATCTCTCACCGAACCTCACATATGCACACGGGCGGTGTGGCCATAAATTCGCTTCGTGGCGTACATAGATTGAAACAAGAACGGTATACAAGCCACACAGACGAGCACACACACACACACCCAAGTTCGAACAGCTATCCCCTGGCAGGGAGGTATGTATTTCTTTTTAGTACGTGCAAAGCAATTTCACGAGAATACACACACACATACATACA